TCTTGTTTTCAGTTGAACTCCTGATCCCCAGTCGTCAGGTCCCTTAACACAACTGATTCCATCATTGATGCATTTCATCTACATCAGTGTTTCATATCTATTGTGTTTCACCCATATCATGTTTCACCTACATCACATTCCATCTCTATCAATATTTCACCTTCATCACTGACACAACCCAGTGAAACCTGTTTTGTGTACATCACTGATCCAACTCAGTGTTTTATACTTATTAAACTCTATTCACTCTACCCTATTTAAGTAGCACTGCTTGTGCTACTGTACTTTAGTTTTGTCCTCTTGTCCTACTGACCTCACCAGTTCTCTTGTAATAGACTCAGTTGTCTATTCAAGTCCCAGTCTTAGTCTGAAGCTCTGCTTCAACCAGTATACACTCTCAAACCACTATCAGATATAGCGGCTCAGTCTACAAGTCTAGTATCAGTGTAGGACTATAGCGTGTATAAGTCCTAGTACCAGTTAACAGTTGATCCTGATCCTCAGTCGTTGGGTCCCTTAACAGAATCAGTGATGTAGACAACAACAGATAGATGGAAATAGAATGGAGTGCATCAGTGAAATAGAATTAGATCATACAGGGTCAAATGAGGACAAGGCAAGAAAGAAAAGAAACCCTCCTCCTGAAACTGTAGCAAGCATGTCGAAAGGACATCAAAAGCAAAACAGGTGTAAAAGGCATAAAAAGCACAGCACAACAATGAATATGATGCTAATGGTGAATTATTCAAAAAAGCACATCAAAAAGCATAACAAGTGTAAAAAGCAAAAAAGCACATCACATTGCTTTTTTTGCTTTTTTTCTTTTTGCCAAATGGCAGGAAAAGCATCAAAAAGGCATAAAAAAGTGCAAAAAATGAAAATGTATATTTCACTGATGCTGTTGCAGGAATATCATCCTCTCATACAGTGTTTTTGAGCCTGTAGTTTAACCTGGTCTAGGATGATCATACAAAATGCACTGCCCACACATACACACTGTGCTAAATACAGTTCTCTTTTCTTGTCAACAATGTTACCCTGAAAGGCTTCTTCAATTGACTGAGAGAAATGATCTTATCCAGGCATACAATTGCATCTCTCTCAAGTGCAGCATCCTCTGCACTATTTTCCTGATATGATGTGTGCAGCCATGAATAAGACCATTCAATGTGTGGACAATCAATGAGTTCACTAAAGCAGTATTTTACAGAGGATACAAAATCTTTCCATGTGAGCCCCAACTCATTCAGACTAATGAGACAATACAATTGGCACAATATTACAGCCAATAGATCTGGAGAAATATAAGAAAATATAAGTATTGTGTAAAAATTCCATACCTGAACAAAGGAATAAATCTATATCCTTCTATCTTAGATTTCATGCTACTAGTTTGGGAAAATCATAAGTTAAACTTACTTTTCACTTCTGCAGCAAAGCACTTGCTATAGAGACCCAGTTAGTAGGATGTTTGTTGAGAGCTGAAAGAAAAGCTTACACATTCTGTTCTCCAAGATACAACGAATAATTGCCTCAGAGAACTCTTTGCTATCTCCTACTTCCAACTGAATGATAGCCTGAACTGCATCATTGATCTTGGCAGAAATCTGTAAATTCTTGTATTGATTGATAGTAGCATCTAGAATATTATCTGAAAAGCCAGATCCTGGCTGTGATAAGAAAAAGGAATATTCAAAAATAAGAATCCAGGCTTTAAATTATAAGCCACACATTTCAAGCTAATAGAAATATATATTCTTACTAATTCCAATTTCAAGAACTTGCTGCATATTGGCTGTGGACATACTCTATATATACATGAGTAACCAAAACTGACTATTGAAATACATACATACCTGAGTTAATCCCAAAGGCAAAGTCGTCTCAAAATATCTAATCTCCTCTCCATCCTGAAAACAGAAAGATGTTCAAAATAAAATAGAATATATGACAATATAACTTACATTCTAGATATATATTGCAGATTATATTCAGATGACTATGTGAATAAAACATACCAGCTGGTATAGACCAAAATACAATAAGTTCATTGTAGCTATATCTTCAGAAAAAAAATAGAACTGACAGTCTATGTAAATAAAAATAGTACATAATCAGTTGTTACCAATATTGCTTATAACTTCTAAACTTAAAACTTACATTCATCTAGACAATACATCTTAGCAAGTACAAGGACAAGTCTGGAATAAGGATAAAAAATTTCACTGACATCCTGGAAAGAATGCCAAAATTAATTTATATTTCTAAGAACAAACATAGAACTACAGCTAGAGAAACTCACAAGCTATAAAATATAACAATGATACTATGAGTGGTCTGCCCACCCATGATGTTAATAATGTGAACTCACTACCTGCAGAACATGATTTGCAACCACAGCATCATAAGTGGTCTGACCATCCATGATGTAAATACTGTAAACTCACTCCCTGCAGAACATGATTTGAAATCACAGCATCATAGGTGGTCTGACCACCCATAATGTGAATAATGTAAACTCACAAACTGCAGAACATAATTTGCAGCCACAGCATCATAAGTGGTCTGACCATCCATGATATAAATAATGTAAACTCACAAACTGCAGAACATGATTTGCCACCACAGCATCATAAGTGGTTTGGCCATCCATGACGCTAATAATGTAAACTCACTTCCTGCAGAACATGATTTGCAACCACAGCATCATAAGTGGTTGGATCATTCATGATGTAAATAATGTAAACTCACTTCCTGCAGAACATGATTTGCAACCACACCATCATAAGTGGTCTGACTATCCATGATATAAATAATGTAAACTCACAAACTGCAGAACATGATTTGCAACCACAGCATCATAAGTGGTTTGGCCATCCATGATGTGAATAATGTAAACTCACTTCCTGCAGAACATGATTTGCAACCACAGCATCA